CTAGACCAGCATAGCCAAAAATATTCAGGGGATTTGCCTGAGAATCACAGTGCCAAGTCAGAGAACTCAGGCTCCTAGGAGTGAGGTCAGGGAGATCTGATGAATGGAACAGAAATGGAATCCATGGACTGATTGATAGGGATGGATGAGGTCAAGGAACTGTGGCAAGTCTGGCACAGTGGCTCATACCTGTAATCCCAGCACTTTGGGAAGCCAAGGAAGGTGGATCATTTGAGACCAGGAGTTCAAGACCAGCCTGGCCATCATGGCGAAACCCTGTCTCTACTGAAAATACAAAAACCAGCCAGGTATGGTGGCACATGCCTATAGTCCCAGGTACTCGGGAGGCTGAGGCATAAGAATCACTTGAACCCAGGAGATAGAGGCTGCGGTGAGTCAAGATCACACCATTGCACTCCAGCCTGGGTGACAGAGCAAGACTCAGTCTCAAAAAAAAAAAAAAAAAAAAAAAAAAACAAAAAAACACCAAAAAAAAAAAAAAAAAAGAAAAGAATGAAAATTGAGCCACTGCAACTAACATTTCAAAATCTGCAAGAGTAAACAGAGGTTTCATAGCACATATCAGAGCAAAATAATGAAAACTGATGGGTAAGTACCCAAAGTAAGAAGGCAGAAGAGGATCCCCAAAGGAAGAAGAGAAATAGAGACTTATGGTAGACATCACACAAGAAAGACAGAATCACAAAGGTCCAGTGGCTCCTTGCAGGCCACCTGCCATCAGCAAGAGTACAAAAAGCAGGCCGAGCTGAGCAGGGTTCAAATTCCCACAGATCTCCAACCACGGTCAGACAGGAATGCAACTCCTCTAAGCAGCTGGCCCTCAAGCTCAGACACCACAGACCCATTAGGCAGCTTTCAGAAGAGGTCTAGAAAGCAGAACTCCTCCAGCACCTACATGCATCCCATCTCACTGTGGCATCTCTAGCCCTCTCCAAAGGACAAGAAACTTACTGACCACCACCTGGAACTCAAGACACTGGTGTCTGCCATCACCACCTTAAATAATTAAAAGAGAACAGAACATGGGTGGGCGCAATGCCTCATGCTTGTAATCCTGGCACTTTGGGAGGCCAAGGCTCGTGGATCACCTGAGGTCAGGAGTTTGAGACCAGCCTGGCCAACATGGTGAAACCCCATCTGCATGAAAAATACAAAAATTAGTTGGGGCCGGGTGCGGTGGCTCACGCCTGTAATGCCAGCACTTTGGGAGGCCGAGGTGGGTGGATCACGACGTCAAGAGATCGAGACCATCCTGGTCAACACGGTGAAACCCCGTCTCTACTAAAACTACAAAAAAATTAGCTGGGCATGGTGGTGCATGCCNAAAAAAAAAAAAAAAAATTAGCCGGGTATGTTGGCGCATGCCTATAGTCCCAGCTATTCAGGAGACTGAGGCATGAGAATCTCTTGAACCCAGGAAGCAAGGTTGCAGTGAGCTGAGATTGTGCCACTGCACTCCCGCCTGGGCACAGAGCAAGACTCTGTCTTGAAAAAAAAAATATATATATATGGCAAGGGAAGACAGTCAAGCAACTGAACTGCAAAGATAGATAATGATCAAGATGAAAGTCTGAATGAAGATTTCTTAGGTTTCCAGGCATGACAATGTCTAGGACACCATGCTAGGATGGTCAGCCTTGGAAGAAGAGGTCTCCAGAGAAATCTCCAATGTGCAACTGTTAGGCAGGGTGTTAAGAGAAATTCCCACCAATACTCTATAACTGCTGATAACAGAATGCTCATCTAGAAGACACCAATTCAGTTCCACTTCCCCTCTGGATGCAGAAAGCTGCAGGAGAGCAGTGCACTGACCCTAAGGATGAACCAGAGCAGGACGATTGATAAAATCCTATCTCTGGGCCATAGGAGAGGTGAAGTGACCAGGCTGCCAGAGGGAACTATACAACCAAGTCCAACACGCCCCTCTAAGGGGAAGGAGGAACACACTTACTGTTTCACTTTTGGCAGAGGAAACAAAGGGGAAGGATGCCATAAAAGTGATTAGGAAAAAACAGCTGAACTTTAAACAAATTGTGAAAGGTTGAGAGTGGCAAGTGTGGGAGTCTAATCCCTGGAAAGCCCCAAAAGGAATGTTCCCACTCATTCCCAGGAAACCTGTGCCCAAGTCTCCAGGCTAATCTATTAGCTGAGAGGAAGGGACACACCTCTCTCCTTGCCCTGAAGAAAGGCACGTGCCACACACAGGCCAAGACCAGCACAAGACATGGGGCCAGTCAGACCTCTGCAGATACAAGGCAGAGTCTAGTTGCCACCTGGCAGAGGCAGGATCGCCAGGAAAGGCCCTGAGCACAGGGCTGTCCAAAGTCAGGCTAGATGGGGGAACTGAGAAGGTGCCACCATTGGAGACCTATGCCAAGGAGGAAGTAGAGAGAGATCACTCTCGGGCCCACACAAGCACAAGAAAGCCACACACAGTGCTAGAGACAGCCCAGCTGACGCCCACTGGACTGACTTGGCCTCCCAGGTGCATAACAAGAAACACCCTTAGCCCGGTGCTCTCTGCATACTGTCTGGCACTTGACCAAACAGAATAAGAGAAACAGAAAGCAAGAACCAGTAAAGTTTGAGGAAAAAATAATAATACCAATTCTGACAAACTCTTCCAGAAAGAAGAAACAGAAACACATTCCAACTCATTTTATGAGGCCCCGAAGGCCAACTGTAAGACAAGAAGCCTACAGACAGATAGCCTTCATGAGCAGAGATGCAAAAATAATTATCATAATTCTGGCAAATCAATCCAGCAACACATAAAAAAGATGTCCACAGAAAGAACAAGAATGTTCATAGCAGCTTTTTTTCAAAATCGTCCAAATGTGGGAGCAACACAAACATCCATCAATTAATTGGTGAATGCATAAATTGGTGTATCTGTACAATTACTCAATAATAAAGAGAAACAAACTACTGATGCACGCAATATTTTGGATAACTCTCAAAAACGTTATGCAAGTTACAGAAGTTTATGCGACACTCTGGAAAAAGCAAAACTAGGAACAAAAATCAGGTCAGGCCGGGCGTGGTGGCTCACTCCTATAACCCCAGCACTTTGGGAGGCTGAGGTGGGCGGATCACAAGGTCAAGAGATTGAGACCATCCTGGCCAACATGGTGAAACCCCATCTCTACTAAAAATACAAAAATTAGCTGGGCGTGGTGGCACACGCCTCTAGTACCAGCAACTTGGGAGACTGAGGCAGGAGAATCACTTGAACCCTGGAGGTGGACACTGCACTGAGCCGAGATCATGCCACTGCACTCCAGCCTGGTAACAGGGCAAACTCCAACTCAAAAACAAAAAAAAAAGAAAAAAATCAGGTCAGTGGTTACCAGAGGTTAGGGCAGGAGAAGGGAGGTGACTACCAAGAAAAACAAGGGACGTTTATGGGGCGATGCAAACATTCTGGAGCTTGTGGTAGTGAATATTTTTTAAGCAAGAAAAGGATGAATCTTAATGGAAGGTAAATTACATATCGTTTTTTTAAAGGCCAGCTCCAACAAAGAGGCCGACCTACAAAAGCAACAGATAGTCTGAGCCCACAAACACAGGCCAACACCGCACCTCTGCTATTCCCAAGGTCACTGTTTCTGGTGAGGAGAGAAAGCTCATTTGACAGACTATCCATTACCAAGACAAGCTGGGGTCTGGAAAATGACATCCTCCCCCAAACCAGGCAAGACAACTGCAGGGAACCATAGGCACTTCCGCTGGTCTCTGAAGCAAGGCAAACAGCAGCACCCTGTTCCCAAGGGCAGGGGCAGGCTAAAATACAAGAGCAGGGCTGGCATCGGAAGAGATCATAAAGTTCAGGAAGGAAAAAACAAAAAAAAGAAACACAAAAAGGAAAGAAAATGGTATTGGTAAAACACATACACACACACACACACACACACACACACACACACACACACACACATCTGCCTTTCTAGAGTTTATATTCTAATGAAGAAGAAAGCAAACCAAATGAATAAGTAAAATACATAGTATGTTAGAAAAAAGTGCTGGGAGAGAAGTACACCAGGAAAGGGAGAAGGCAGGAGGGGCCGAGTGAGAAACTAATTCTGACAATGAGACCCCAAGGATAGAAACTGGCCCTGGAGATGGGGGCTGCCTTCAAGGCATCATGGTTTGGCAGCTGCTGGCGGGCACCAGGCTAACAGCTGGGGCCAGGAAAGATGAAGACCCACACCAGGCAGCAGGGACACGCTCTTCAGACTGTCACCAGGACCCCCCAAGGCAGTCCCACAGGAGAAAACAGAGCAGCAGGGAATACGCACGCTTCCTGGCTGCACAGAGCAAGGTATCAGAAGAAAGAGAAGAGCTCAGAAAATAATTAGGCGCTTGAAAGTAGAAATCAAAGGGCACAGAAGAGCCCTGGAATGTAGGGCCTCAAATAGGTGCAAGAGCCAACTCCTTCCAGATCCCAATTAGTACATCCGAAAGCCTTCCAGAACAAGGGCCCACAAAAGCTCAATCAGGTCAAAGATGAGAGTAAGGGTGCGGCCTTCCCAGTCAAGCCTGCTGGCAGCACTGTGGCCTCCACAAGGCTGAGACGCACAAATAAGTAAAAGGGAAAGCGAGGCTTGAGAGCTGCATCGGGTCAAGAATTGCCTGCATGTGGAATTGCTGAGAACTAAACACATGAAAAGTGTACTCCCTTTTCAAGAAACGGCACCACCAAAGAAATCCTAAGCTCAATGCCAAAAGTCACCTTTCAGGGCCACACAGCTTGCTGGGTGAATTGTGCCCAGACAAGGAGGGCAGGTGTCCTGCCACCTACTGCAGTGTGGCCAGGGAAGCCCAGGAAGAATATCCCAGGACACATAGGCTAGAATGTGGTCCAGGAGGGAATGCCCCCTGAAGCAAAAGCAAATCCATTTCTTTCACTGCCAGTTAGCCCTATAACCTGGGGTGGGGAGAGCCAACGCCCTGCGCTGCCTGTGTGGGCAGCCACTCACCACCGGCTGGTCAAGGCTGCCATGCCTCTCCTCCTTCTCCACAGTCCTGCGGCAGTCTGGGCACACCCATAGTGGCAGGTGCAGCACGCTGTTGCCCTTGGGAGCCATGGAAAGGGCCAATTTGCTCGCAGTCTTAATTCCGCTCTCTAAGAATGAGGAGTCTTTACGTTCACTTCTGCACAGAAGACAATAATCCCCAGCGGGGTAGGGTGGTGTCCTATGATTCATGCCAAAACTAAAAGGAGTCTGGAATAGAAAAAAAAAAAAAAAATCTATTTTCAAAACCTGATCCACAAAGCCAAGAATATTAAAATATATGTACAGTTCTAAAACTAAAATACATGTGTATGTTTATATACAGAAATATAAAATAGGAAACGTATTGAATAAAAGTAAACCTAATGTTCTAGAAATTCATACTACTTCAAATAAAATAGTGCCATAAAGAAAATCTTATCTGAGTTAGAAAACTGTCCAATTAACCCCTTCACCTTGACTTCTGGATTACTTACCCACGCGCCACATGCTAGAAATTGTTAGTCTGAATTTTCAGATTGTTTACCACCAATAAGTCTGAAACCACTATTCTAGAGGCATCGGCACACCAGGGCTCAGACCTAAAATGGCAATTCTGGCTTAAATTTGTCTGCAGATCCAAACCATCTCTGAGGTGGGCTGTCCAAATTCCAGATTCAAGATAAACAGGGAGCTGATGGCAGCTGCACATCCAAGGCCCAGCCTCCCTTCCAGGCCCAGCAATAATGATGCTGAGCTTATTCTCCTATCACCTGATGTAAATAAACATCTGCATTTTCAAACAGGTCCTACAATGTCGGGCAAGGGAAAGAGGCCTCAGAGGTAGGAGGAAAAGGCAAGATTATTATACCTTAGAACCTCTCAAAAGATAACCACCCACTCTATCAAAATAAATAAATAAATAAAATTTAGCCTTTAAAACACAAATAAAGAAAAAGAAACTGAAGGCTGGGCACAATGGCTCACGCCTGTGATCCCAGCCTTCAGTTGAGAGGCAGAAGCAGGAGGATCACTTGAGCTCAGCAGTTTGAGGCCAGCCTGGGTAACATAGCAAGACTTCGCCTCTACAAAAAAATCCAAGTATTAGGCAGGCACAGTGGTGCACATCTGTAGTACCAGCTACTAGGGAGGCTGAGGTGACAGGATTGCTAAAACCCAGCAAGTTGAGGCTGTAGTGAGCTGCGATCATGTCACTGCACTCTAGCGTGGGTGCACTCTAGCCTCATAAAAAAAAAAAAGAAAATTTCAACCTGGCCAACATGGTGAAACCCTGTCTTTGTTAAAAATATAAAATTAACCAGGTATGGTAGCGTGCACCTGTAATCCTAGCTACTCAGGAGGCTGAGGCAGGAGAATCACTTGAACCCGGGAGGTGGAGGTTGCAGTGAGCCGAGACTGTGCCACTGCACTCAAGCCTGGGCAATAGAACAAGACTCAGTCTCAAAAACAAGGGGAGGGGAGGGGAGGAGAGGCAAGGGGAGGGGAGGGGAGGGGAGGGGAAACTGAGACTTACAGGCCTGGAAATGGGGGTAAAGTCCCAAGGCCATCAAATTGGGGGCAGGGGGACAGACAAGATTTTAACCCACATCAACCCAATCCTAAGACGGGCCTTTCACACAGCACTGCCTCTGCACCTTAGGAGGAAGGCCCTTTCGAGCCTTGAGGAGAGGCTGAAGAGATGCACTCCCAGGCAACAGGGCAGAGGGAAGACTGGCCTGGCCTTCCAGAGGCAGACAAAACCAGAGCACACAGTGGGGTGGAGGTGAGAGAACCCCCACTGGTCTCTCCTGCCACGTGGGCGTGCCCTTGCTGCAGGACATGCCAGATGGAAGACAGAGGACCCAGGTGAGGCTGTTCTGGCTTTTCAGTCTCCATCTCCACCCAGAGGCTTCTCCAGGGCCTGGCTGGGCCAGTCCCATAGCTCTTACCACAGCCTCGAGCTCTCTCCCCATCCTACCACCAACATTCAAACGGGCTGAGTATGCATGGCAGACTGGCCCCACAATGACCACTGAGGACTCCAATTTGGACCCCAGGCTCCATTCTTAGAGTTCCCACTGACCAGCAGGAAACACATACTTAAACAAGGGGCTGAATGTATAAATGAATGAATTAGTGATTGGAAGAATGAATAACACCAGTAAGACTCAAAAGATGTTTATATATATTCTCCCGTTTTTCCATAAACCAGCAATCAAAACTGCTGACTCCTGTTACATCCACAGGGTTCTGATTTTCCTGAACCCAGCTCAGCAGCCATCCTGAGCTGAATGTTTGGGACACAGGGACAGAGAACTGATTCTTACCTCCTGCATTGTCCTAGAAAAGTGCCAGACTCCTCAAACCCCTGAGAACCATGAGAATCCATGTATTTTTCCATACCAACATATCCCAAAAGCCTAAATTATGACAATTAAAAAAAAAAAAAGGCACACTGATTTACCCCTATACAAAGCCATCTCTTTTCCTTAGGTCTTAGCTCACATGGCTAAGAGAACAGTCACATCCATCAGACCTTTCTGGCCTGCTCTTTTAATCACAGAATGAGATGCTGGGCTCTACGGACCCAAAGGTCTCCAAGCCTGAAATCCTAATGTAAGAGCCAGAAATGACTTGAGAACGCCCTGTTCACCTCCCATACATTCACCAGTCATCTGGGATTCACTGAGCCCACTACATGCCCAGGGACTGGTCCAGGCACTGGAGTACAATGGTAAAGAAAACTATCAAACTCGCCGGGCGCGGTGGCTCACGCCTGTAATCCCAGCACTTTGGGAGGCCGAGGCGGGTGGATCACGAGGTCAAGAGATCGAGACCATCCTGGTCAAAATGGTGAAACCCCGTCTCTACTAAANTTAGTTGGGCGTGATGTCAGGTGCCAGAAATCCCAGCTACCTGGGAGTCTGAGGCAGGAGAATCGCTTGAACCCAGGAGGCAGAGGTTGCAGTGAGCCGAGATTGTACCACTGCACCCCAACCTGAGTGACAGAATGGGACTCTGCTCTGTCTCAAAAAAAAAAAAAAAAAAAAAAAAAAAAAAAAAAAAAAAAAAAAAAAAAAAAAAAAAAAAAAAAAAAAAAGAAAACTATCAAAGTCAAAGGCAATAAATAAATAAGACAAATACATGAAAAAATAGAACATTAAATAATATTAACTAATTAAACAGTGATAAGGAGAAAAACATAACAGCAAAGAGTATCTGTGCCCTTTAATCTGGTGGCCAGTGAGGGGTTCCTTGAGGAGACCCCTGAAGCTGGTATGGGGCTTGCAAGAGCAGGAGAGATGGGGGGAGAGCCACTCAAGTCAAGGAGTGACTCTGAGGCTGTGTGCAGAGACAGATGGGATGGGAGAAAGGGAAGAAACGACTATCTGCAATTTAGGAGCCAAATGGCAGCAGCTCGGACCAGGGCTACAGGAAGGGAAGCGGACAAGGCTGTGAAGGAGCGAGCTGAGGTGTGAGAGGAGGAGAAGAGCCAGGGGTAAACATGAAGTGTCAAGTGCTGGGTATTTTTTCATTCCTTCAGTATCTGAGCTTAGTTGTGGGCCGTGGTAGGGTTGTTTGGAAAAAGTCTGGTCCTTTCAGAGCTTGTCTGTAAGCTCTGTAAGATGGCATCAGAGTGCCTTTCCTCTTCCTTGCAAATGAGACAATACCCTCCTGCACAACCCAGGGTTCTGCAGGTTAAGATTTTCCCACAATGGTTGGTGGGAACACACCTGCTCCCGTCCCTGTGTGAGCTCCAAGACTTGTCCACTCCTCACCTCCAGGGTGCTAGCCCAGGCACAGAGAGCTTCCCCACATGCACATGCTTCTGCACCCTCAGCTGGGCTTCAGGAGAACCCTATGCAGAGCTCTTTCCCCTCTTTGCGGCTGTCTCCTCTGTGGCCTGCAAATTTACTTTGGCCTCCGCAAAGTCTCATCTCGGCCTCCTCAATCAAGGAGACCCCCAGGCTTGGTTTAGGCAGCTCTCCAAGCCCTAGCCTTCAGACTCTCTCCAGGCAGGAAGTCTGGGCAAGGCTGGGGCTCACTGCGGTTATTCTCTTTCTCTCAGGGATCACTGTTCTGCCTACCTGTAATCCAATGTTGGAAAATCACTATTTGGTACATTTTGTCCTTTGTTTCATTGTTTGAGGTAGGAAGATAAATCCAGTTCTAGTTACCACCTCTCGCTTTAAAGCAGAAGTCTAGTTATGTTGATATTTTAAAAAAATAAATGCACCAGTCTGGGCGCAGTGGCTCACGCCTGTAATCCCAACACTTTGGGAGGCCAAGGTGCATGAATCACAAGGTCAGGAGATCAAGACCATCCTGACTAACACGGTGAAACCCTGTCTCCACTAAAAATAGAAAAAATTAGCCAGGTGTGGTGGCAGGCGCCTACAGTCCCAGCTACTTGGGAGGCTGAGTCAGAAGAATCGCTTGAACCTGGGAGGCGGAGGTTGCATAAGTGAAGATCGCACCATTGCACTCCAGCCTCGGCGACAGAGCAACAAGACTCCGTCTCAAATGAATGAATGAATGAATTAATGAATGAACGAACCAGAATGAACCTACACTAGTATCACCCCCCCAATCCTACGTACACATAGATAAAATATGTAAATATATAAAATATGTGTGTGTATATATATATATCCATGTAAAGAACCAAGATAGCCCAGAAATTTTTGCATAGGAGAATATGGACATATGGCTAAGAGAGCAGTATTGCTGAAAACACTCTGGGAGCACCACTAACAGCCGAGTTCTCCATCTATGATATATTTTACCTTTTCTGACAACTGATTTCCTACCCTCCAGTGATTGTGGCCTGCGTGCATGGGGATGGGAGGTGTGTGTGTGTCATAAAAGACACTACTAAATCATAATAGCATTTGTTTTCCTGCTAGGCCTATATTCCAGTTTTGAAAGTAGGTTCCAAAATGAAATTCCAAATTAAACATGAAAACTCAGACTTACTAAAAATATTTTACAGATAAATTTCTTATAAATATGAAGAAAAAAGGGCATTTTAGGGCACAAAAACAGTAAAAGCAACAACCTCTCTCAAATAACAATAGCACAACCAAGATCAGCCCACCCCACAAAGGCTAAAGCAGGAAGCACACAAAACAAAGGCCCCGTGCTAGTGACACTGCCACCTCCTGCCGCCCGGCCTTCAGGGCTGTCTGCTCCCCACATGTCCTCTATCTCCTGTCAGAACTCCCTCACAC